GTTTAAATCTAGAAATTTTGAATTTACCGCCAATTTGCCGCGATCTGATTGGTCGAGAGACGTGGCCAATTTGAATGCTACGCTCTGATTGGTCGTGGCCTAAAAGTGGAGGAGAGGGGGTAAAATTCGTCAAAAGTTTTCAGACTGAATCTCCATAAGAAAATACATGAGGTTGTGGAGCAGGATCGGCACAGCTATTCTACTTCCCATATTTCCCCCTCCACATTCCGACACACATGCAATCACATGGTAATTTATTTTATGCAATTCTTCCAACAGCTCATTTAAAATAGATTTTGTAATTTTTTTATCGAAATCCACAAAAATGGGCTGTTTCCAACGGTCTGGCAAGCCTCTTGCCATGACTACTTACATATATTTATGTTCCCCGACAATTTCATCCCTTTGCTGATCAAACTAATACATGCTACGCACTTTCATTTCATCATATGATAAATCAGTTAATCTTTGCATCGCACTTTTTGTTTGACCACATGTATCCATGATTTGTAAAATATTCCTCAAAATGCCATTTCTAAGATTTATATTACTTGCTTAAATTTGTAACGTGGAAATACCAGGTAAAGGATATTTTAATTTTTGCCTCACATAAATATATCCTCTTTTCCCAAAATAGCGTAAAGTAAAAGCTTTTGAGATTTCATCTTCGCTCCATCCATCGTCCCTTGTTTTATGTTTCAATAAAATATCAATTTTGATTTTTTGTTGAGAAACTTGAAAGAACATCATTAACATGGACATCTATGTTCTTCGTTACAAACTCATTTCCTTTTTGCAAGCTAAAAATAACTTGCAGTGAGTTTACTAATTTGTTGTTTTGCAGCATTATGTTCTTCAACCAAGGTATCGTAGGACCTTTTTAATTTTTCATATTCAGTCTCTCCACTATAACCAGGTATATTATTTATATCAATGTTCTCCGAGACTTGTTGGAATAGAGGATTGTTAGATTCGGATTCGTCTAAAATATTATTCACCAGTTGTGCCTGCTCTCTTTTCTGATATTTTAGAGACCTTTTAGTTGGTGCACTCGAATTTTTTTCAGTTTCCTTTGCCTTTGGCATCAAGTACAATGTTGGAATAGCTACAAAATTAAACATTAAACATAATTATTTGAGACAATGTGATAAATTTAATAACTTACTTGTTTTTTCAGTCTCTTCGGCATAATATTCATAACTTTAGCCTGGATAGCATCTTCATAATCTTCAATTGTGAAATGCATGCTACACACTTTTTTATGTTTTGGATCAAACATATCCTTCCGATATCAGTTGGAAAAGAGTGAAAACTAATATGTTGGCCAGCTTTCTCACTGTTACTTTTACAGATGGCTACAGCACAGATATATCTTGGCATCTACATTTAAAATATAGTTTTGAATAATACTCAAAATATATTCATCTTTCTCGTGTAAGACAACACTTTTAATTTACAGTTTTTGTAGCCATTACACAATTTAAATGAAAAAAAAATAGGTACCTAAACCCAAACATTATCATATATTTTAAATTAACATACTTACGATGATTACAAAATATCCACTTCCCAATTCGTTTAAATGTAAAGTCTATATATTTTATTGCACCAAAAATCCTAAATTCTTCATAAAACACAAGAAAAACCACAGGAATAAACTCGAAAAACCACCTCAAAACGTTCAACGAATCGACAGCTCTGTGAGGTCTGCACAAAGTTGACGTCATCTGACCCCCGCTCGTTTTCCCCGCTTCCTATAATAAGGCAACCTATTCAGTTTACGGACCGTGATCACATCTCACATCAGTCAGGTTGCAGCACCCAGCGCTCCCCACCCTTCCGAATTTACGAACTCGAACGAAGCTAATTCCCTATGTAGCGTTGTACGGTGAAAGCACGGTATATCGGTATTGGGTGTCGTACATGTTCTAGATATGATAATTGACTGACTCGACCACAGTATTGCCAACTGTTCGAGAAAGATGGAACATTACAATGTAGAACATATACATCACAGATGTGTGCAAAATACGCCATATTTTAATTTAAACATATATTTTAGCGTGGTTCACTATCAAATAATTGAAAGTAAATCCGGAAGACTGGAACACTGAATAATAATAATCGATACCTTCAGATTAAACGCGTTATCTCGTGCTCAGATACTAAATTTTGCCATACTAGCTGCAGCAGTTGGTGCGGCAAAATTTGAGGTTCGGACAACTGAGATATCAGACATAAAGCTTTAGAGGAAACACATTATTTAAGTAAAAATAAGCAAAAATGTTTATATAAACCTTGGTCCTAAAACCCTTCGTCTTCATTAAATTTTTTGAAAAAAAAAAACAGTATTTATTTATTTACAAAAATATAACTACATATTATGTTTATTATCCAAACTTTGTTGTTTCAGTTCCATTCTACACTGTTGCATTATACACGTACTACCACGGTATAATTGATCATTCTGGAATAAACTTTAAAGCACATTGGTGGCAACCCTGGCAGCCTGATGCAATTTTTCATGACAACCACCACCAATATTTTCACGTAAATTTTGGTTTCAATATAGAACTCTGGGACAAGGTTAGTTCAATACTGTTTTACATCTTGTGTGTCCTAAATTAGACACATCAGCACTGTTATTGTATTTATCATATAAGATACGGAGTTGCCGCTATGGTGGCTGTAGTTGTCTCGCATTAATAATATGTACTTTTATTTTTGTAGATTCATGGAACTTACAGACGAAAAGATCGGATATATAGAGAAGATATTTTCTATGGAAAAGGAAAATCATTTGAAGACGTCAATGTTGACGAATTCAAAGAGGATTTAAAAGAAAGAGAATCAGAAAATCCTAAGGCATACCGTGGAAATAAATCTCATTATAAGTTAAGCGGGAAAGAACTGAAAAAAATTAATTTGTACAGTTAGGTCCTTTTTTCAAAGAGTTATATTTTAATATGAAAATATTCATATTCTATTTAAATTTTGGTTGTGGGATAAAGTTTCAACTGTATTGTAAATATATGTAAATATATTTTATGCAAAATTTAGAATTAAAATCTATCAGTTTTCTGAGCATTAAGTGTAACTTGATTTGCCTTTTACCACTCAATTTAAAACGTTAAACATTTTATTTAGAATTTATAAATATTTTATTTATAATTTTATTTATTTACAATTCTTATAAAATCGAAGTAGTCTCTGAAATATATATAATTTCTTTCTTAGACGGGGATACAGCCAAGGATAAAAAAGTTACACTCTTTTAAATTTTCAAGCTTTCGAAACTATATTTTGTTTCTTCATCAGAAAAAAACTACAATAGGATACAAGTTAAAATTTTCTTATAAAATAGTCAATTAAAAATTACTTACTATGAGAGAATTATATTGAAGTTAGCCAACATAATAGGTACACCTACCGCGGACATAGGTCGTTATTACAAATAATTAAAAACATCACAGGTTTAAAAACGGAAAATTGTACAAATATAAAGATTTTTAAAATTCATAACTACGGCAGACTGGAGCCGAAATCAAACAAAATTAACACTGTCGCCTGTCTTTTAGGTACAAATATCAGATAAGGAGGAAAAAAGTGAAAAAATATTAAAGTTTTTGTTCCCTTAATACTGTAACGTACTTTACTCGGTCGCCAAATTTTTGTAACACCCTTTATATACTTTACTTTATTTTGGTTTTGATTTTGCGGTGGTGACTGATCGGTTCAGACGTTACTTGTGGCTGCCCCCGGTATACTACCAACTCTAAACGGAATCTTAATTCACAATGGCGAATTCTAATTTACTGGATTTATTGACGTCACTGACGTCCCTATTTGGAGACGCCTACTTTATGACAACCCTTGACTACTAGTTTATCGGCAGCGGTGGTTGGCAGCCGGCGGTGGTGAGTGACGTCACAGGAACGTACTCCAGATTGAATCTTTTTGTTCGGTTTCTGTCTCGGGCGCCAGTTTCCCAAACTTTTACGTGGGGGAAACTCCACGTGAAACCTACCCTCGGTTTAGAGTAAGTACTCGGGATAGCTGCAGTGAAGAAAGTTTAAATCCAGGGGTCGGTTATATTTCTCTTACTTTTAATCAACGTAGTTCTCTGAGTGTAGTGTTATTTTCCTTTTAAAACAAACGGACTTATCAGTGTAGGTCACAAAAAGATAGTGCGACTTTTTACTGATCGGAATTTATCAATCTTATCGGTGTTAAGAATGAATACAAACTGGAAATATATTTACTAGATTTATTAATCAGGCCTATTGAATTTGAAACAAACAAACAAAAGTAAAACAGATTCTAATTACAATTATTATTACTAACTAAAACCAGGAATATACAAATAATGTACAAGCGGTGTAATTAAAACAAAATGGGTTAGAGCAATTATTATCGCGGCGGATTTAAAATGCCGATACGTTTTTTCGGAGCTGTAAATAAACACAAATTAGTCAAATATCAGGACTCACAATCGGTACGGTAGAAAAGCGGAGTATTTGGCGTTTTAGTTTATTTAAATAAACGGTCTAAGACTTTAAGAAACGGTACGCCAGAATAATATTCGGTTTTAAATTTCGGTCGGTGCTAGAAAGGGAAAAATAAGGTTAATTAATTAGAGCAATAAATAATTAATAAATAAATTGTCCCAATGGTTCTGAAACAAAGAAATAATTACGGGTTACTTTAATTCTACAAATAGACATCGGCAGTAGTTTCTAGCAAAGCGACGGAAATTAAGCGAAAATGCGATCAGCCAGGAGAAAAAGCCAAGCAACGGTTTACAACGGGCATAAACAAGCAAATGGTAATCAGGAAAATGATGTTGTTGGTGAACAGGAGGCAAAGTCTGGACGAGATGCGAGTTCAAATGCGGGGCGGCCGACAGATTTCTCCCAAAAGCGGTGGGGCACCCACCCAAACTTCGAGGATCTATCCGTCGCTGCACAGCCGACACACAACGTCTTCTACTGGCGGTGGGACACCCAGCCAAACCAGCAGTTTCGGTTACTCTGCCTTACAGCGTTTATCAAGCTTAGACGGTGGGGCACCCAGCCAAACCTTTGCCGACAACGCCGCTGCCGTACAGTCTGACACCTTCACGTCCTCTACTGGCGGTGGGACACCCAGCCAAACCAGCAGTTTCAGTAAAGGGGCTCACAGCGTTTGTCGAACGAGGGCGGTGGGACACCCAGCCAAACCGTCGCCGATAACGCTGCTACCGTACGAACCTGCACACAACGTCTTCCACTGGCGGTGGGACACCCAGCCAAACCAGCAGTTCGGTTGACGTGACGGACAACGTTCGTCAACGAGGGCGGTGGGACACCCAGCCAAACCTTCGCAGACAACGCTGCTGGAGCTCTTCGAGTTCTGGCAGCGAACTCCTTGGGTCGGGTGGTGGTCTCTGGTCGGTGTTCAGGTCCTTGGGGTGATCCTCGGGCTGGTGTTGGAGTTCTTCGAGTTCTGGCAGCGAACTCCTTGGGTCGGGTGGCGGTCTCTGGTCGGTGTTCAGGTCCTCGAGGTGACGTTGGAGTTCTTCGAGTTCTGGCAGCGAACTCCTTGGGTCGGGTGGCGGTCTCTGGTCGGTGTTCAGGTCCTCGGGGTGGTCCTCGGGTTGGAACTGGAGCTCTTCGAGTTCTGGCAGCGAACTGAGGATTTTCGTCCAGGAAAGGTAGTTTTATTGCCTCAGTCCCCTCTTGACTAGGCAGGAATCGTGGTGGGATTATGCGCGCGGTCCTCGACAAAGTGGGACAAACGAACGGTTCGACTCGACTCGCGGTTAATTGCTCTCACCCAATTAAACTAATTAAATAAATAACTGGCCCACGGCCTTGCATAAAACTGGAAATTAATAACGGTTCATTACAATACTTATGCGGAGAACGGGGAAACTCTACCAAAAATTTATAAACTGTTAATTAGTTAGATTATTAAACACAAATAACAATAAAGGTCACACTGAAAGACTGTCCCTGTGATTAAAATATTGATTTAATAAAAAAGTATAAATTACGCTGAGACCATCGATATCAGTCATTGCATTCATTGGAATATGCAATATGACACATCTCTAAAAATTTCTTTTTTTATGGTTTGTTTCTGAATCTAATACTAAAATTTCGTCATAATTCACACTATGACCAGAGGATAAACAATGATTTGCCAACATGCAACTGTGTTTATTCAGTCGTATGTCACTTTTATGTGCTGTAACTCTATCTTTTAGTTTTTGTTTTGTTTGATCTATATATTTCAAATCACAATCCATACATGGGATGCAATAAACTACACTGGTCCGCTGCAATAGCAGATCTTTATCTTTTAATTTAGTGAACAGATTATTTACCGTTAAATGATTTTTAAAAGCCTACTTGACACCACCTTGACCAGACAGACGTTTTTTAATTTGGAAGAAACAGCACCTAAATGTGGTACTGAAAAATAATGAAAATTTTGTATTGCTGAATTATTATTCCGGGAGTCTTGAACACGGAACTAAAAGATAGAGTTACAGCACATAAAAAGTGTCATACGACTGAATAAACACAGTTGCATGTTGGCAAATCATTGTTTATCCTCAGGTCACAGTATGAATTATGACGAAATTTTTGTATTAGGTTCAGAAACAAACCATAAAAAAAGAAAATTTTTAGAAATGTATCATATTGCAAGGGAAGGCAATCCGTTTGAGTGAAGCTATCCACAACTTTTCATCCTTGGTGCCGACGTAGAGGCAGTTTAATGAGAATAGATATTTAGTACACTCCACTATCGCCTTCACGCTGTTATCTTCCATCCACAACTCGTACTTGGACTTCATGTGTTGCATATGTAATTTCATGTATCTTTTCCACCCCAATTAGAAATTTAACATTTTAACAGAATGCTAGTCCAACTAAGTATAACACCCCATATTGTAGTCATTCAATGCCTGCCTTCAAAACACCCTTAAAAATTAATATTATTGCCGAAATGGAAAAAATTTAAATAATTTACCACTGCGATCCCAATTAGAGTGCGTTGATAAAATTTTAACAGAATATTAGCAAAACCACGTAAATCATCCCCATATAGCAGTCATCTATTGCCTGCCCTCGGAACACCCTTAAATATTCATATTATTCCGGAAATATAGAAAATTTTAAAATTTTACCACTTCCACCCCAATTAGAGTGTGTTGATAAAATTTTAACAGAATATTAGTAAAAGCATGTAAAACATCCCCATGTA